TTAGATTCAACACACTGTTCTAACAATGTTGCTATATTTTTAACTGTTAAATTTGGTGCACATTCTTCAAGTGTTTTATCATAGCCCATTATAAATGAAAATCTACATTTCCTTCAAGTTAGACTTTTTATAGATAGTCCTTGACAAGAAAATAATATTCACATAATATCTTCTTTTTTATTTTTTATTTTTTAATTTTTAGGCATTTGGGGTTAAGTGACTTGCCCAGGGTCACACGGCTAGTGTCAAGTGTTTGGTCTGAAGCCACATTTGAACTCAGGTCTTCCTGACTTCAGGGCTGGTACTTATCCACTGCACCAGCTAGCTGCCCCCCACATAATATCTTCTTTAGCTTTATTCTAGGAAGACATTTTTTTTTTTTTTGGGTGAGGCAACTGGGGTTAAGTGACTTGCCCAGAGTCACACAGCTAGTGAGTGTCGTGTCTGAGGCCGGATTTGAACTCAAGTCCTCCTTACTCCAGGTCCAGTGCTCTATCCACTGTGCCACCTAGCTGCCCCTGGGAAGACATTTTAAAAGCTGAGAATAAAAGTTATTTTTAATAACATTAAGGGTATGGCAAGAATTACAAGGCATGATACTTAGGATTGAGAAAACCAAGTTATTTTGTTTAGAGGTCTAGATTTTTTTAAAGGTATCCCACATAATGAATGCCTTTTCTTAGATTTTCCTTGATGCTATTTGCTTAATACAAAGTAGTAGCAAGAGCATTAAATGTTTAATCAAATCTAAGTTCCATAAAAAGTCTTTCCAGTATTTTTGCTACTGTTATCTTAACCTGAGAGGCATAGCAGCATAGTGAAGAGAGCTGGGATTTGGGTTTAAATCCTGCCTCTGGCACACATCACTTATGTGATCTGGGACAAGACACTTTCCCTCTGAGTGTTCTAGTCAATTTGTGAAGACTTTACGTGGCAAAGAAGATGTCAACCTGCATTGGTAGGGAGAGTTTCCTTACCGGAGTGTTTCCCATACCAATGAAATTGCCAGTCTAGACCTGAACCTGGTCCCTATTCTCAAGTTTTTTTCAAAACCAAGTTTCCCCTTTCCCCTGCTGACCTCTGAAATATGAGAGCTGGAGATAGTATCACTATAATTTACTATAATTTGTAGTTTTCAATTCTGGGCACTACATTTTGGGAAGGACTTCAATAAGTTGCAGTGTCTAAAAGAAGACAACTAGGATAGCAAAGGGCACTAAGATCATGTCGTATGAGGAGCTGTGGAAGATGTGGAGATTTTTAGCTTGGAGCAGAGAAGACGTAGAGCAGACAAGATAGCCTTCTAGTAGATGAAGGACCATCTCCAAAACAAGAATGAGAGACTAGACTTCTCCTGCTTGGTCCCAGAGGGTAGAACTAGGAGCAAAGGGTGAAAGTTACAGATACAAATTATATCTTGATGTAAAGAAAAAGTTTCTAGCAATGAGGATTATCCAAAAGCGCACCTTCAAGAGGCAGTGGGTTTCCCCTTGGTGGAAGTCTTGAAACAAAAACTGGATGACTACCTGTTGGGTATTTTGTAGACAGGATTCTTGTTCAAATGTAGTTTAGATTTGATGGGATCTGAGTTCCTTTCCAGTTCTGAGATTCTGCAATTGTATAATTTGAGCCCAACAATCCCAGTGATACGTTAATTTTTGTTACGTGCAGGGATCATGCTAAATTCCTAAATGTCAAGGGACTGAGTTCTAAAATAATCTGAATGCTTTACTTAAAATAGGAAATGTGTTTTTCCAGAGAGATGAGTTTCATTTTCATGTAATAATACATCATCCACAGAGCATGTTTCTATTTTTAATTATTTTCTTTGATAAATCAGTTGCTTCACAAAAATTCTTTTTAAAGACAACAATCCAAGAAAACTTAATGTTACAGTATTCACATTTTAAAGATTGTCAGTTTCATAGACCAAATATATTTAAAACAAAGAAAGGTTGCTGGAATATTTTTGTCACTATCTGCCAGAGACAGTCCTCTATATGAACGAAAGATTGGATGGTAGGTTTAAATTTGTGTAAAAAGAAAAAGTGCCCTATTACTTTCTCACACAGATTAGAAACAGAGATCATTTAACTGATTACAAGGAACTAATTCATAAGAAAGAATGCTGTATGCTTTCACACCACAGTTTACCAACAAATACTTGTTTGGCAGTCTGTCTAAACAGCATACTTGTGCTCTTTCCCAGTTTATTTCACATACTGGATAAAAAGAGGAATATATTTCACCACCTGGGGAAAAATCCCCAAAACACTGAAGCAGTTTAGCAAATCCAGCAGTGAAGAGTTTTATTTGGGTTTGGCAAAGCCAACCTAACGTATTGGATCTACGAGGGGACGACGGTAACAACAACAACAACAGAATTCAAGAAGTCAGACTTTAAAACACATTTGGAAGGATCCTCCTAAGGTAAAGAATTCACTAAGAATAGAGTTTGGGATTCATTTTGTTCATTCGAAAAGTACATCTCATAGATTCTCTTAGAGACATGGAATGGATGGAAGGGAAATATTTTTGAGATACTGACTGATGAATTACTGAGGGAAAAACAAAAAAGGCTTATCATGTAAAACAAGTCTGTTTAAAGCATATTAGGAGAGATGATCAAAGGTTTCTTATGACATGTCCCCCCAAAACCTAAATTTATCTTTTGCCTATTTTTTAAGGTAGTAAATAAGGATTTTGGTCTGAAGCAATTTCAAGCATTTAAAAAAAATGCAAAGAAAAAAAAAAACACATAATTCACTTAGCCTGAATCACTATTCAAATCACTGAAGTTTATGGAACTCTGATTCTCAATTTGCAAAATGAAAATAACTTTATATTCTTCAAACTACTGTAGTTTGGCACTCCAAGAAAGCACAAAGCACCCTGAACTTACAACCTAATGCATCTATTAAATTTAACATGATTTCCAAATTTTTAGAATAACTGAAAAAAGCAAACATTCAAAATTGTTCATCTGAACCCAAAAGTGGTAAAGAATATTAGGAATAACTTTAAAAGGCAAGAAACAGTTTCTGCAGTTTCTGGTTAAAAAAAAAATAACCCAGGCAAGTTAGAGTTTAAGCCAAGTTGATATGACAAATGAGTTTTTAGTCATACATGTGTTTAATTATCCTAATAAAATTTACAAGGAAATAATCCCTGCTTTTAAAAAAATGTATTTGTTTCCTTGCTAAATTGAGTAGCTAAGTAATTTTTAAGTTAGTTTTTGAAATAGTCTTTAAAATAAACAATTCTTGGGGGGCAGCTAGGTGGCGCAGTGAATAGAGCTCTGCCCTTGGAGTCAGGAGGACCTGAGTTCAAATCCAGCCTCAGACACTTGACACTTAATAGATGTGTGACCATGGGGAAGTCACTTAACCCCCATTGCCTCATCAAAAAGCAAAAAAATAAAATAAACAATTCTTTTTGGAATGCTAAAAATATGCAGTAATTTAATGAAGACTAATTTATAATTTAGTATCTATTGAGGGGAAATGGTTCCAGAAAAACAGATCTTCATAAAAAAGTACTTCATTACAATCTTAGTTCAATGGCCAATTGGCTGCATTTGCATGTTAAGAACTGCTAATATCCAAACCATATAACTATCTCATGTAAACAAATTAAGTTGATTTTGGTTGGAAATCATTTAAAGAGTGTCTTTCTACACTATGAAATGAATTGGTCTGTTGAGAGAAAAAAGAATAAGCATGTTTTTTTTCTTTTCACTAGTGATATGTCAACTCAGAAGTCAAAAGCTCTAATATTCTTCCAAATCCAGCATTACCATAAGATCAAGAGGGGAAAATTATTTTTAGACTTCAAAATTGTTGACAGTATCTAGAAGTCATGCTTAAAACTGTATATAATGAAGAAATATTGGCTTTCAGGATCAAAACCAAACAATTGCACATGGACAACCACCAAAGAGCAAAGATGACTGGAAGGAAAATATGTAATCAAACCATAATTACAATGGAATTAATTTTTATCACTAGTTCATGAATATTTCAAAATCACTTGCAGGAGACTGTTTGCTATCTATCCTAGTGTCCTGAACTATCTGAAGAGAATGTCACATATTTTACATAGCACTGTTTTTTTTTTTTAACTCCAAAGTAACAACATGGTTCATGTGGTAGAAAACTAATAAAAATATTTAAATGAGAAAAAATATGGGCATTGAGTTGTTTATGATCTATTACTGGGTACCATTTTCACTTAATGTACTTAACTATATATTCAGCAAATACCTTTAGATATAAAGTTTAGATCAAGTGTGAAATGAATCTGGCCATAACATACAAACTAGTATTTGAAGATATTAAAAATTTCATTAAATAGCTGCTGTTTCTTACTTCATTACTAAATGTAAATTATTATTCTGGGATAGATCTGAGATATATTCTGAGAACCATGGAATACTAACTTTCAGCATGTCCATTAAATTTGGTCATTTTACAAACTTCCATTTTGAAATACTAAATATGTATTGTTCTTTAGAAATTATGTTCAGTATAATCATAATCCCAATTAGTAATCAATTTATAAAAATAGTTTTTATCCAGTAATTCCAGCAAAGTAAAAACAGGAGGTTTTTTCTTTTTTTTAAAATAACAAATGAAACAGGCTCACTGAATGAGAAAATTAAGCTTATTTTAAAATGCCATATAATCACAATCGTACTTCTTTTATATTGGTGTGTTGCTTCACCTCATACTGGCAGTTTTAAGGTGCAAAAGCTTCTTCTAAATAGATGGGCCTAATATAATAATCCAATTTCACTGGCTATAGATTTAAATTAGCCCATTGAGAATCTGCTTTAAAGTACAAAGAAAAATTAAAACAGCATAATTATTTAGAAAATGGTAGCACTTTCCATTGATATAATAAAGGGACTCAAGGGATGTTTGTCATTCATTATATTAGAGTTAAACCTTTAAAGAAAAATTCAAAAACCCCCAAAACAAACAAACAAAAAAAAAACCACACACACATTTGAAAGAAGTTGCTGTACCTGCAAAGACTGTTTAAGCTTACTATGAAATACAAAAAGTGCACCCTTCTATATCTACATATAAAACATTAGAAATAAAACTTGTGTAAAATGTTTGCTGTGCAAACTATAAAAAGTCAGTGAAGTCCATTTTTTTTCCCTAACTATGGTCACATTCTCTTGCTTCCTACTGCAGAGAATCACTATTATCCAATACCAGGCCACTAATATTTGTTGCTGTGAGTTCTCCTCCATCATCTTCAGTGCTATCCACAGATTCATCCTCACTCTGTCCTCCCATCATGACTTGCTGCACTGCTAATGTAGCGCCATCAGATGACAGAGATTGGAGGCTGTCCACATTCATATTAACTGGTGCAGTAATGGTCACAACAGCTCCTGGGGGATAAATTCACATTTAACATTTATTTTAAGATTAGTACAACCAACCATGGAACTTAATATAAATAAGCAGATAGTATACCACTGTAAAATTTCTTATAAATTTTAATAAAATGTTCTATATGAATACGTATGTGTATAAACACACATGAAACTATTAAAATGGAGTCTCAGATTATGTTGGTTCTGGCATGCTCTCTGCAGAAGGAAGGTTCCTTCCATATAGATCTAGAGAATAGGGAATATAGCCTTTTTTAGAGGGGAAAAATCAAGGAATAATTATAATAATACCATGCTCTAAAGTTTACACAATGTTTTACCTACATTACCTCATTTGATCCTCCCAACAACCCTGTAAAGTACTAAAAGTTTTGTCTCCATTTTCCAGGTGAGGAAGTTGAGGGTGAAAGAGGAGAATCTAAAAGCAAGCTTGAAACTTAACATGAGAAAAAGGAAGATCTTGGTATCTGGTCCCATCACTTCCTGGCAAATAGAGAAATGAAAGGAATGGAAGCAGTGTCAGATTTTATATTCTTAGGCTCAAAGATCACTGCGGAGGGCAACTGCAGCCATGAAATTAAAAGATGCTTGTTTCTTGGAAAGGAAATCTGGACAGCATACTAAAAAGTAGAGACACCTTGCTGACAAAGATTCATATAGTCAAAGCTATGGTTCTTCCAGTAGCAATATATGGCCATGAGAGTTGAACTATTATAAGGAAAACTGAACACCACACAATTGATGCTTTCAAATTGTGGTGTTGGAGAAGACTTTTGAGAGTCCTTTGGACAACAAGGACATAAAGTCAGTCAATACTTAAAGAAATTATTTCAGACTATTCATTGGAAGGACAAATACTGAAGCTGAAGCTTAAATACTTTGGCCACATAACGAGAAGAAAGGACTCATTGGAAAAGACCCTGATGTTGGGAAAAATTGAAGGCAAAAGGAAAAGGGAACAGCAGAGGATGAGATGGATAGTGTCATGGAGACAATGAGTATGAACCTGGACAGACTTTGGAAGACAGTGAAAGACAGAAGGGCCTGGTGTACTATGGTCTATGAGACACTACTGAACAACTGAACAACAACAAAGCTGAGGCTCACTGAAATAAAATTATGTGCACATGTTTAAATAGCTAAATTCAAAATCAGGTCTCTTCTGACTCTAAGTCCAGAACCCTTTTTTACTACTACTGCTTCCCCTAAAGAATCACAATCTTACTGCTATGAGTTTGCCCTTCACAGGTACAAACTATAATCTATTCATGTTTTCCTTACCCTTTGTGATTCTGGTCTACTTTCTTCCATAGATCTTCCACAGATCTTCCACAGAGGATCCACTCGATGTGCTAGAGGTCTTCTTCTAGGGTATTGTACTAATGGCATTTAGGATATCTATTTGCTATCCTTTAATCAACACATGATCAGCTCTGCCTCCTTTTCTTTTAATATATTTTGTTGCCAATATTCCATATTCAATGAAAATATATTAAATATCTACTAATGCATTATGCTAGGTACTGGGCATACAAAGAAATGGAGAAAAGTCTGCCCTCAAGAACATTCAACTAAGGGTAAATGTGTAAACAAGAATACACATGATAATTTTATAGGGGAGATAATACAAACAACTAGAGGAATCAGAAAAAGTTTCTGAAAGGGGCACAGAGAAAAACAATTCTGATGAGAAAAATGACAGTTGTCAGAAGAGACTGATCGGCTGAGACAGATCATCAGCTAAATTAAGATTTAAAAAAAGATATATAAAAATGGATGCAAGGGAAGTTAATGTAAGAATAATATTAGGAATTTGGATTTAAGCTGAGAATGAGCTAAATTTGTTGAGGAAAGCTAAGGACAGTAAAGAGTAAGAAAAGATAACCCAAGAATAGAAAGGACTGCTGCTCCATGGTAACTGGAGTCAAGAGAGGACTGAGCTGCTCAACCCTCATTTTGCTGGTATTCTCAGCCAAAGAGAAGGATCTTTGCCTGGAAAGGGTAGAACAAAAATAGTTACGAGGGAAGGAGCCAATTTCCAAGATGAGAAAGGGTGATGTAAGTACCTGGTTCCTCTTGATAAATTCAGGTTATCTGGCCCAGGTGAACTGAAATAATTTAAAATGTGACTGTGAAGCCATTGTCAGTAACATCTGAAAAATCCTGGAGAAAAGGACAGATCTCACTGGACCAGAGAAGGGCAAATATTGGCAGAATTTAAAAAAAGATAGATACTAAAGGCCAGTGAGTTGATTTCTAGTAGAATTCTAGAATACATTATTAACAGGTGGTTAAGAACCAAGAAGTAATGACACAGCTTCAGCAAGAACAAAATAACCTTATTTCCTTTTCTTTCTTCCTTTTTTTAAAAAATTAGGTTACAAAACTTGTAGATCAGGGAAATGCTAGAGAGTGCTAAATGCTAAAGTGCAGCTGGATTTCAGCAAGCATTACCTAGTATATAGTGCTATTCCAATCAAATTACAAAAACAAACTTTACTGAGTAGAAAAAATGATAAAATTCATTTGGAGGAACAAAAGGTTAAGAATATCAAGGGAACCATTGAGGAAAAATGGAAAGAAAGGAGGCCTAGCAGTACCAGATCTCAAAATATAGTATAAAGTTGTAATAATCAAAGCAATCTGGTACTGGGTAAGAAAAAGGAAAGTTGATATACATATATAAATATAGATACAAATAAGCACAGTAACTGTGTGTTTGAAAAACTCAGAGATATGAGCTATTAGAGCAAGAACTCACTATTTGACTAAAATGACTGGGAAAACTGCAAAGTAGCCCTGAAGAAACTAGGCATAGATCAACATTTCCATATACCATATGGAAGATACCATATACCATATGCCAACATAAACTCTAAATGGTACATGATCTAAATATAAAGGATACTACCAAAAAACAAATCAGTAGAACATGGAAGAAATTACATGTTAGATACATGGATAGAGGAAGAGTTTGTGATCAAAGAGAAGACAGAGAGTTCATGGGAGGTAAAATGAATAATTCTGATTATATAAGATAAAAATATTTTGCAAAAAAAAAAAAAGCAATGCAGCTAAAATTAGAAGAAAATCAGAAACTAGTGAAAAGAACCTGTAGCAAGTTACTTTGATAAAAGTCTCATTTCTAAGATATATAGGGAACTAAGTCAAATTATAAGAATAAGAGCCATTCCCCAACTGATAATCAAAGGATGTGAATAGACAATTTCAGTGGAAGAAATATAAGTTATCAATAATCATAAGAAAAAATACTCTAAATCACTAATAATGATAAAAATGCAAATTAAAACAACCCTGAGGTACCATCTCACATCTATAAGATTGGCTAAGATGACAAAGAAAAGGAAAATGACAAATGTTGGAGGGAATGTAGGATAATAAGTTCACTAATGCACTTGGTGGAGCTGTGAACTGGTCTAACCATTCTGGAAAGGCATTTGGAACTATGACCAAAAAGCTATAATATGATATAATATAATTCATACTTAACCTTTGATCTATTGATACCACTGCTAGGCCTATACCCTAAAGAAATCAAAGAAAGAAGACTCAAATAAAAAAAAATGTATAGCAGCTCTTTTTGTGGTGGTAAAACAAATGGAACCTGAGGGAATGACCATCAACTGGGGAATGGCTGAACAAGTTATGGTATGTGAATGTGATAGAATACTATTGTGCTTTAAGAAATGATAGAAATGGTTTCAGAAAAACCTGGGAAGAATTATTTGAACTGATTGAGAATGAAGTAAGCAGAACCAGGAGAACAATATATACAGTAAGAACAAAATTTCAAAGATAATCAACTTTGAAAGACTTAGTAACTATTATCATCACAATGATCACCCACAATTCCAAGTAATCATGATGAAACATTTTATCCATATTCAGATAGAGAACTGATGGGCTCAGAGTACAGATTGGAACACATTTTCTTCTATTTCTTTTTTTCTTTCTTTTTGGGGAGAACATGGCTATGCTGAAAATTTGTTTTACAAAACTATACATATTTGTAATGGGTTCTATTTTCTACCCTTCTCACAGGAGGAGGCGGGAAGGACAGAATTTGGAAAAGAAAACGAAAAAGTGAATTCTAAAAATGAAATATTAAAAAAAAAGCTTTGGTGGCTCTCTCTCTTTTTATTTAGGATAAATAAAGCCTCTGTTTGGCTTATAAAATCTTTCACAATTCACAATTCATATCTACTTTTCCAGGCTCATTTCACACATTCCAAACAAACTGGCCTACTTACTCTTTTTTGTACATTCCATTTCATATCCCATCTCTGTGCATTTATTTGGATTGTCCTCCATGCTTAGGATGTGCTTCCTCTTCACCTCTAATTCTTAGAACCCCTAGTCTCCTTGAAAGGTCAGCTCAAGTTCTGCCTTCCACAAGCAAAGTATCCTCATCCCCTCACCCTCCAGCTGTCAGTTCTCTTGTTCTCAGAAATTACTTTGTACATCTTTGGAAAGGATAATGATAAACTGGAGGGTATCCAGAGGAGGACAACCAGAATAGTGAAAGGCCTCTAGTCTATCTCATATAACGAGTGGAAACTAGAGATAAATAACAATAATAGCTAACATTTATACAGTACCTTAACATTCATAAAGATCTTAACATACATATTCATATTTAAAAGTTAAGAAATTAAGACCTTATATTGTAGTCAGGAGCAATGGGACAAACACAGACTAAAAGTTGTTCTGAAATAGGCCAAATGGTAAAAGAGGCACAAAAATTCACTGAAGAGAACTCCTTCAAAAGTAGACTTGGCCAAATGGAAAAAGAGGTACAAAAGCTCACTGAAGAAAATAATTCCTTAAAAGTTAGAATTGGGCAAGTGGAAGCTAATGACTTTATGAAATATCAAGAAACAATCAAACAAAATCAAAAGAATGAAAAAAATAGAAGAAAATATGAAATATCTCACTGGAAAAAACAACTGACCTAGAAAATAGATCCGAGAGAGATA